TAGCTCAACATCTCAATAGGGTATGATTGCTTGACATACGGGTCGGGCAAAGAGGGTAAAGTCCTCTTGCCCCGTTCAATATTGAATATAGCTTGCACATCGGCAAGAGTGAGAAACTATTGAGGGAGAGAATTTGATGGTGACATTCTCGGAACTTGGCTTATGGACCCGAAGACTGAGCTAGGAGCGGCTTGGCCATTCTGGTGTTGAGAATTCATCATTGGTGAAGACACATGACGATACTGGCCATCAGCATCTATGGACAAGCCAGGTGGTGATGGAATATTAAATTGAGGCTCATAAAGTCCACTGCACAATGCAACTATACTAGGTTGGGCTTGCAAATTTGTTGTCAGCACCAAAGGAGGCCCGCTCTGTACTTGATTAACATTTACTGGTGCTGGCAAAGCTCCCTTTTGTGCCATCATGCCCCTTATATTTGTCTGGATACCAACAATTGCCGGAGCACGATTCATTACACCAAAAACTTCACTAGTCACCATTGGATCTTGGCTTGGCACGCCATGGAGCCTGGGCGTGGGCAAACTATTGCCGCCTACTGTGGTTTGAGCATGTGTTGCTGCTGTTGTGTTGCCATGAGCCACAGGCTAACTGGGGTCTATTTCTCATTGGGTTTGATTTTGCACTCCGAGGAGGATAACTCCACCGCTAGTTTGATTTTCGTTTGGTGCCGGTGCAAAATTAGAACTCATCACCAACATGATGTGAGTGAAATTTTGAAGAGTGGTAAGAATCTCTTGCTGAGTTTTTTAAAGTCCTTGTATGGCTTCAAGTAAAAGTGGTTGATCTGGAGCCATGGTCCTGTCATCCCCACCATTAGAGGATCCTTGTTGGTGAACTTTCATCTTCTCCCGCCATTCTTGCTGGAGTTGTGTGGGTTCCGGATCTCATTGAGACCATTAACCAATCCGTCTCCCCAGTGAAGTCGCCAAATGTATGAGAGGGTTCAAGAACGTTGTTGGAAAATTCAAAGATCTTTAAATATCTTTGAAGAAGACTCGAATTCCTAGAGAAATGATAAGAGACTTCGATTCTTCAATAGTCACAACTAAAAACACAAAAGCAAAGAGATGATAGAGATAAGAGATTGGGTGAAGAATAAGGCAAAGTAGTTAGAAAGAGAATAATGACAAGGCTCTCCCATGGATCTCCCACTTCCACTCTCAAGATTGATAATGAAGAAGGGAAATTAGTTCTTTCCCAAAAATTATCTCTCCAAAATCTGTCCCTTATAAAGCTATGGGTGGGTGCTATTTATAGGCACTTCATGATGTAGGATGGAGCCCATGTGCAAGGCACATAGGGAATATTCTCTCTAACCACCTTATCTGAGGAGGTGACCTCTCCGAAGATAAGGAAAATCCCAAAGAGGAGATTAACCTCTCGGCGAACCCTTCTTCTTAGCCACACCTAACCAATGATCTCCAATCATCCCAAAGGGTCAATGGTAGTCCCAGAGGATGCCCTGCCGCAGAAGGGTCAAGAGTAGTTCAAGATAACGCCCTGCCGTAATTATTGCCGAGTCTCAGGGACCTCCTAGATCGTGCCACCTCGACCCAGGTATAGGCTAGTTTAACCGAAGAGTGAATTCATCTTTACTCATTGTCCTCAAGATCAGGTCCTCTGTTCGGACTCCATTACGCCCACGGTTCTGGTGCGTAGACTCCGGAAAATTCTGAGCCCGCAAATGTTCTAGGACTCATTAACTGATTGACTTCTAGATTGCGATTGAATCTGTTCGAAGCCCAAGTGCCTCGAATCTCTAGGCTTGCTCAATACCCTTTCAAGTCTGGGCCCAAGTAAGTTTCTAAGTTCGTGGATCCGAACCCTTTTAAGGCTTAGAGCGATTCGGCCCGTTTGATGACGACCAATCCTGGCCCACCAATCTTGGACTTACGATAAATTTGGGCCCACCAATCTCAGACTATCTGATTGGGCCTAATTAATTTAGTGGGCTCAAGTTAACTCCTCTTACACTACTAAAATAGCCAACTTTCCAAACACCTACTATATAGTATATAATTTACAAGGGAGATGTTTCTCTTCGGCCTACAGGATTAGAACGTACTATTAGATTTGTGGAGTTCGTCACGAGTCTCGTTTCGATAATTCGCACTATTCAATGTGTAAAGTTCGTCGAGCTCTTTACGGTTGCAAAAAATTATGTTAATTAGATATTGGTAGTCCCTTAATCGAAACACACTTTCGTCAATGGTAAATATGATTTTAAAAATAAATTGTTAATAAAAATGTGTTCCAATCAAAGGATTACCGATATCTGATCAACGTGAATTTTTTACAGACATAAATATATCTCATTAACTTTTTAATTTATTTTATTTTTTAATAACTATTTTAACCCAAATATAATATGCCAAACGAGCACTTAGAGTATCTCTAACGGTGACTCAAATTTTTCACCAAATTTGAGTCAAAAATGACCCATTTCACTAAATTTGATACCACTCGCTCCAACGGTTCACCTTTCACCAAATCTCTCCCGGGACAACCGGGTGGTCAACCGGCCGGTTGACCGGTTAGGCAAAAAAATTTTTTTTTTTTTTTTTTTTCCGAATTGTCTGAACGTTTTTTTGAACTTTCTGAACTTTTTCGGGACGACCGGGGTGGTCGACCGGCCAGTGGACCGGTTAGGCAAAAATTTTTTTTTTTTTTTTTTTTTTTAACGGTTTGAACTTTTTTTCCTGAACTGTTTGAATCTTTTACTGGTTGACCGGTTGGTCAACCGGCCGGGCAACCGACTGGTTGACCGATGTACCTCTTTCAACGGTCAGTAACAGTGATTTGGTAAAATCTGTGTCTCGTTCTCAGTTTGATGCTTTTTTTGCTGAAATCTCATTTTGATATCAATCTGGTGCAACGGTTGGAGCTTGAAAAAGTAGGTTTTTCATCAAAAAATTTGAATTTGATGCTGGGTTTGGTTCACCGTTGGAGATGGTCTTAGAACACAAATCTACATTACTACACAACTATTTCAATTCATAAATAAATATATATGGATTTCTATTATTTTAAACATTGGGGGGAGAATTCAAATAAGTCATAGTTGAGGTATTTAGGCCTTGTTTGGGAATGTTTAAAATAACTAAATAAGCATAAAAATATAAAATAGATTAATTTAGCATAATATGAAATATTACATTTAAATTATAATTATTTTATATTTTCTCTTACAATCACTGCATCCAAACTCTCTCTCTCTCACACACACACACACACACACACAATCAAATTTTTTTTTTTTCAAACGAAACTAATTTAGCCAAGTTAAATTAGCTAAAAAAATTAAAAAGCCAAACTAGCCTATTTTGGCAATTGGGTTAAAAATCAAAAAGTTGGCTTTTTGGTTTTTTTAAACCTCATTTGGGAACAAGTTATTTTATTAATTGTTTTGAAAATATGGTTAAAAATTAACTTTTTAGTTTTTTTTATTTTTTTTTAAAAAAACGTGTAAAAAATATAAGAGATGATGTGACAAAAAAATGGATTAAAAGCTAAAAGCTAGTTTTTAAACATTTTCCCAAAATTAAAAAAAAATTGACTTTTTACGAAAAAATATACAGAAAAATAAAGAGAGTGACGTGACAATTTATAATAATTTTTTAATTTTTTAACTAAAATATATAGTTGACAAATGAGACGGTCACATCACTTCTCTATTTTTTACATATATTTTTAAAAAAATATAAAAAAAATAAAAAATTAACTTTTAACCTACATTCTAAATTAATTTAATCATTTCCAAACGAAGACTTATTGTAATATTTAATTAAAAAAATAATTAAAATATAAAAAGATCTTTAAAAAGAAATGAAAATGAAGAGATATTTTTGGTCAAATATTTATTTTTTCCTGAAATTATTTTATATTTTAATTTATTTATTTTTATTTTTTAAATACATTTAAATTAATTACATGCAAAAAAAATTAATTAAAATATAACAAAAAAAATCATTAAAAATAAACAAAAACCCATTTAAAAACAATTTTTCAAAAATCAAACCAAACTCTTCTACTCTCTCTCCCTCTCAAATTACAGAGCAGAGAGAGATAGGGAGACAGAGACTTTGGGAACTGTGCTCTGAAGCAGAGAGAGAGTAGTAGCTACTACAAGGCCCACTACGGTGATTGCTCAGTCTTCTTCATCCCCACAACTCTCTATACTATAGGACAGCTAGGTTTTTTTTCTCTCCTCGATACACGAAACCGTTCTTCAGTGTATTGTCAGTCATTGACATTACCTACAAATCTTCGGGTAAATAACGTGCGTTTCGTATTCTCATCTCAGAATCATCATCAATCAGTCCTTTATACTTTTGTCTTCTTCGCTTTATCTTCTTTTGTTTGGTTTTTTTGTGTGTTTTTATATCGGAGAGAGAGAGAGAGTCCATTGATTTCTGGTGTGAGTAGAGCTTTCTACTCTTCTTTGTTTGTTTATGATAGAAATTTTATTTTCTGGGTAATTCGTAGGTTAGTTTTTTACAATGTGGGTTCGAGTTATCTTGGCTTTTCATACGAATATATATAAATTTATCTCTGTGTCTGCTGTAAATGCTTGTTTGATTTAAATCTTTCCTGAAGTTTATGGTTTCTGTTGAGCTAATGTTAAGAAAATATGAAAGATTGAAAGCATTTTAGAGGTCACAACTACCCATTTCAATGCTTGTTTGTTTTAAATCCGTCATGAACTTTATGGTTCTGTTGAGCTAATGTAGAGAAAATATGAAGATTAAAAGCATTTTAGAGGTCAGAACAGAACTACCCATTTCAATGCTTGTTTTAAATCTGCCCTGAGCTTTATGGTTTCTGTTGGGCTAATATTAAGAAAATATGAAGATTGAAAGCATTTTTGGAGGTCAGAACTACCCATTTCACTGGTCTGATGTCTTCTTCTTATTCTTCTTCTTTTTTTCTTTTTTTTTTTTGTGCCCAATGTATTTTATTTTTGTGCACATTAGGTGATTTTTTCTTTTTTGGGGTCGGCTAATATTATCTGTCTTTTTCTAATATTTTCTCTTTGTCTTTTTCTGCTATTTTTTTCTAATTAATGTTGAAAATTTGAAAAAAGTAGCTTGGGTGGTATTGTTGAATTTTATGATAATGTGATGAGCACCTCACTTTGCTTTAATTTGCAAAAATATATTCTGTTTATAGCATAATACGGGTTGGTTTGTGTTTGATCTGTATTAAATCTTCAGTTAACTTTGATTTTGATACCCATTTTAGGGACTAATTGACCCGGTTTACACCCTGAACATTAATTTATTTTTTCATAACTAGGGCAATCCTAAAAGGTGTAGTATAATATGGGATATTATTGTCATTCGTTTCACTTTCCAAGTATTGGAGTAAAAGGGAAGTCTAAAGATGGCTTGTGTTGTGATGTGTACTGGTTTCCTTTGATTGCTACTTTCTTTCTGTTGTTGTTCTCTGTGGTGGGTATGGTTGGTGAAGGTGGAATTAGTTTCTCTGGAGTTTCGTTGAAGGGACTTTTATTGTATTTTTGTTTGGTTTGGTTTGGCATAAATTCTGAATACCTATTAGAGGTTGAATGTCTTTCATAAACCAAATTATTTTTATCTGCTCTACATGTATATAAGATGGTTCTTTTCAGCCAAGAATTTATCTGAACTATTGCAGGTGTTGTGGGTCAGGTGGGGCTTTTGAGTAGAGTGCATTTTTTACTCTGAGTCTCGAGGAAACTAAATATGCAAACACCAAAAGCAAGGTATATTTATCATTCACTTACATGAATTTGTGGCATTATGTTCTTACATTTTACACAGCTGCTTCTGAAGCAATTTATGTCTAATTGAATTTTGCATGCTTTATTTCATCAAGAAAATGGGTGAGAATCAACCAGATTGACAGTAAATGCTGTATAAACATGTTTCATCAAAATTTTGTGGTGGCCTTGTGTCCTTGCCCATATTGTTACCTTCTTCATTGTATTTATTTATTTTTTTTAAAGAAATTAGTATGATGGACCTGTTCAAATGACCAATCCAACCCGTGCTTCTTTGGATAGGTCAAGTCTATTAACAGTTTTTGAACATTAGTGGTTGTAAATGTCAGTTTTGCTTACTTCATTTGTTGTCCTGATTCCAACTTCTTGTGGGCGATAACTCAACAAGGGCTGAGTAGTTGTAACATGCACACACGCACGCACGCGCGCGCACAAAAAATCAGAAAATAGTGAAATAATTATGAAGAATGACAATTTGGACAATAGAAACAGCAGTATGTTTGGTGTGGTATGATCTGGAAATCTACCTCATGGTCTATGGTCTATACATGAAGTTTCTAAAATCACTATATGGTTAGCTGCTTTCTTCTTTCAATATTATCAAATTATTTAGCCACAGGAATTTTATTGTGAAAAAATCTTTTTAGTTTAGTAATTGTTGATATTGCAATTATATAATTTAAGTAACAATTTGAAAATTGATGAGACCTTTTGTTGAAACCAGTTTGCTGTACTCGTCTTAAATTGTATCTTTTCAACGCCCTGATAAATTGTATTTTGTTCTTACTTTTGGGAGCAGAACTAGCTCTTTGGAGGTGCCTCATAGGACATCTCCTGCGACACCTCGAACTGCTCATCAGTTAAAGGCGATGGGATCAGATTCTGACTCAGTCCCCTCACCAACTCCAGCAAGCAGGACAGCTAAAGACAGAAGCCCTAAAGTTGTAGAGCGCAAATCACCCAGAAGTCCTATGTCTGAGGTATTCTACGAGAACTTTCCACCTGAGCCACTTCATTTTCATGGCACTGAAGTAGTGCTGATGACCTACAGAATCTTTTCCAGCTGTTGACAATCTTATTGATGATGCTTATCAATTTGGCTCTATTCAGAGATTCTAGGTTCAATTTTTTGCACATATTTTAGCATTGTTAACATTAAGCATTGAAGGCACTTGTTTTCTAGCTGCATTCAGAAATAGGCATTTAGGCCCATGCGCTAAAAGAGCAACTAAAAAAAAAAGGCAACTTTCCCACTAACAAAAAATTAACTTTTTTAGCACTTACCAAATGCATCAACTTTTTTTAGATTTAAAAAAAAAAAAACAAAAAGAGCAATTTGTGCAAGAATTGTTTTTTTCTGAGGATGATTATGTTGGAAAATATATGTGGCCAAGTCGGGTTAAATTCTCTTCATGTTGGTAATGGGCTTTCACTCACCTAATACAGCCAGATCTTTTGTGGTCATTTTACTGGTTTTTGAATCACAAATGGAAGGTTAAGAAGATATTGATAGATCAAGTTAATGCAATCTCAGAACTTTTTATCTGAACAAAAGGGTGCTTTAATGTCTAATGTTCAGTATAGCTTGTTAGTCACACTCATTTGCTAACTCAACCTGTTGGATTGAGGCAGTATGAGATTTATACTATGTATGTTACTCTAATGTGTGTTCACATCTGTCATTTAAATTATTTAATCATATTCCACTGTGATCATCTTTTTAGACATAGTCATAGACATTCCTGGTTATAGATTTAAGGAGGGATTTGCGAATGGAAAGGGAAAGTGAATGAAATATGAACTCTTTTCTCTCTTTTTCTTTTTTTTGCTTTTCTTTTCCTTTGCAAATCCCTTGCCAAATCCATGATCCAACACAGCTTAAGTTTTTTGCTTATATATACTGTTGCCACAATTTTAGTCACGATAGTATGCTGCTGACCCATCTAATACTGTGCCCCTTTTTTTTGTGAGCTTCAGAGAAAGAGGCCAAGCAAAGTGTCTGAATTGGAATCTCAGCTTGCTCAGCTCCAGGATGAACTGAAGAAGGCAAAGGACCAGCTGAGCTCATCTGAGTCATGGAAGAAGCAGGCCCAGCAAGAAGCTGAAGAGGCCAAGAAGCAGTTGGCAGACATGTCAGCAAAGCTCGAGGAATCCCAACGGCAGCTGATGGATCTTTCTGCTTCTGAGGAAGCTCGGGTCCAAGATCTCTGTAAGATCTCCCAGGAGCGAGATCGAGCATGGCAGTCTGAACTTGAGGCAGTCCAGAAGCAGCACTCAATGGATTCTGCTGCCTTCACTTCTGCTATGAATGAGATTCAGAAGCTCAAGAGCCAGATGGAACGTGTGTCTGAATCTGAAGCTGCCCAGGCTAGGCATGCTGAATCAGCACATGCTGAGATACAGAATTTAAGAGTCGAACTCACCGCAACTCTCTCCCTGGTTGAGGAATTGAAAACCCAACTCAGTGATTGCAAAGAATCTGAAACTCAGGCCTTAGAAGTTGCCAGTAAAACGCAAATGCAATTGGAAATGGCAAAGATAAATGAAGAGGAGCTCAAATCCAAAGGTCTTAAAGCCATGGAAGCTTACAAATCATTGTCTGTGGAGTTGGAGCAATCGAAAGCTCAAGTAAATTTATTGGAGGAACATGTTAGCAAACTCTCTTCATGCAATGTTGAAGAACCTCAGGAAAATGGAGAACATGAGGATTCAGAACAGCTCAAAGCAGAGCTTAATCAATTGAAAACTGAAGTAGGACAATTAAGATCTGCATTGGATGAGGCTGAGAGAAGATACCAGGAGGAATATATTCAAAGCACATTACAGATTCGAAGTGCTTATGAACTAGTGGAGCACACAAAAGCAGACTCATCTCTAAGAGAAGCTGAGTTGGAGTCGAAGTTGAAGAAGCTGAACGCTGAGATCGAAGATTTGAAAGCCAACCTAACAGCCAATGAAACTAAATTGCAGAGTATTTCTGAGGAGAATGAAGTGCTGAATCAAAAGATTGAGAAAAACCAGTTGAGTGAAAGAGAACCTAAATTGGAAATGGAGCTGAAGAAGCTTGAGGTAGATTTTGCTGATCTAAAGGCGAGTTTGTTGGATAAAGAGAACGAGTTACGAAGTATAACTGAGGAAAGTGAGACCCTGAAGTTGGAAATCACAAAAAGGGAGATGGAGAGTACTAAAGTGAATGATGAGGCCCTCGCTTCAGCTGAATCAGCTAGGGCTGCAGAGCATGAAGCTCTAATGAAGCTACGGTTTGTAACGGAGGAAGCAGAGAAAAGTAGCAGAAAAGCCGCTCACGTTACTGAACAGCTCGATGCAGCACAAGCTGCGAATTCAGAGATGGAAGCCGAGCTGAGGAGATTGAAAGTGCAGTCAGACCAGTGGAGGAAGGCAGCCGAGGCAGCTGCAGCCATGCTTTCAACTGGGAATAATAATGGTAAATTTGTGGAGAGAACTGGGTCACTTGACAACAACTACCATACCATCGGTGGAAAGCTTGGTTCGCCTTTCTTGGAAGACATGGACGATGAATCACCCAAGAAGAAAAATGTTAACATGTTGAAGAAGATCAGTATCCGATGTTGCTGCTGAAGAAGGGCCAGAAGTAGATGCATTTTTTGGCAGGTTGCAATTTTTTATTTTTTGGTCACTGATTGTTTTCTTGGCTTTGTTCATGTGATATTCGCTCATAAAAGCTTCTCTAACAGGTATTTGGTGGCCGCGGGAGGGGAATTTGCTAGGAAAATACCCCCTTTTTTTCGCAGACTTTTGTATAGTAGTTATCTGGAAATTGGATGAACATGGACTCCCATTGTTTCCATTTGTTTCACCAGCCTTGTGTGGTAGGTTTTGATGGACACCTCAAGTATTTGTAATCTTTTTCTGTTGTAACTTTCAGTTTATGGTAAGGTATTTGGTCTGCGATGCTGATTATGGGGAAAATTAGTGGATGCTATCAAGTGTAAGGGTTTTTTATTTTTTAACCCTAAACCAGAGTGGTTTGAAATATTATTTTCCAAATCTATGCAGTTTTTAACTTATTCCTAAACCCAGGTGGTGTGGTTAAGTTGTGTTTTGAAAATACAATAATGAACACAAATTTCATCAATTGGTCCTTCAGTTTTTGAGTTAAGTTAAAATAGAAAAGATAGAGAGAAAAAATGTCGAGAAATTTACCTTGCATTGTGTCGTGCAGTCTAAATTTAATTGTTGTATAATGGGATCTACACTTGGAATGAATATTAAATTCTTTAACCCTAAACCAGAGTGGTTTGAAATATTATTTTCCAAATCTATGCAGTTTTTAACTTATTCCTAAACCCAAGTGGTGTGGTTAAGTTGTGTTTTGAAAATACAATAATGAACACAAATTTCATCAATTGGTCCTTCAGTTTTTGAGTTAAGTTAAAATAGAAAAGATAGAGAGAAAAAATGTCGAGAAATTTACCTTGCATTGTGTTGTGCAGTCTAAATTTAATTGTTGTATAATGGGATCTACACTTGGAATGAATATTAACCACAAAATGCTTATTATTTTTCTAGATAAAATTTCTATGTTAATACATTTGGGTGTGCACAAAATAAGATACAGACCAATTGAGCTTGGTATAAAAAATCTTGATCTTGTTAACTAATGCAAAAATGCTAGACTTTAAATAAATTATCAAATATTCATATAAATATTATATAAAATATTCAATAATTCACCTAAGATCCTTAACATTGCTCTAACTATTGCCCAACATGCTTACAATTACCTCTGATAAAATGTAGTTGATGAGTGCATGAATATTTAATGGTTGTGTAATTTCCTATTTATCCCTATTGCACTTTATATTTTAAAAGGGTAAATTCAATTAATCCTTTTAATTATACCAAAATTATTTTTTGGGTGAATAAGTCATAAAATAAAAATAAAAACTTACACAAAATACAAGGGGCATGTCCCAGGCCCTAACAGAACTATACAATAACCAATAAAAATTGGACAGCAACAATACAGACCCATCCCAGAAAGGATGAAGGTCCACAAGGACCAAAAAAAACAACCGGCTAGAACATCAAAAACTTCAACCAAAACCTAATAGAAATATGTGCAGAAGCAACAAACAACACCCTAAGCAAAAGAGAATTAGCTTATGCAAGGAGAATGTTCATGGGCCCCATAGACAAAATATGTGGGCCATGAACATACCTATCAGCAAAGACACCTAAATGAAATAACATCCCTTGCACATCCTGCAAGGGTAGGCTCAAAGGAGATTAGAGAATTTGATACAAATTCGGAAAATATAAATATACAAAACAACAAAAACAACTTTCTTCGTCACAAAAGACGAAAACATGGCCTTCACTTTGCTATTACACTTGCCAGCAGCAGCAAAAATGTACACACCCCAGCAGCTTTTATATAAGCACATCTTATAACCAGCATTCTTTACAAGTGTTTCTTCCATCTTCAAGCTAGGAAGGTTAGTGAAACCCAAAACAGTTATACTGACGTAACACCAGCAGCAAAATAGCCGTAAACCTGCCATCATCCTTAACAGCCGCAACCCAAATCTTAAAGTTTGGAGATTTAATAAAACTTGTCTAACCATATAGATAATGAGAGAGCAGCCAAATAGAAACCCGAATATGTAGAGGGCAAATGGTATAATGCATATAATGTAGGGGCTCACAACACTCAACCCACAGTATATAGCCTCACACCACTCGGCAAATAACGAATAACACTCAATATATAGTCTCTCAACACTCAACCCACAAGAGAAGGTCCCATTATACAACTTCAGCCCTGTCAAACACCTGCAAAAAAGAGTAACAGCAATATATATATTTGTCACCATTAGAAAACACTCTGTGGACAGTGGAATGGAAGGTGTATTTGGCTACCAAAACTCAACCCTCAATTTATGGTAAATAGCAACACTCAATCCAGCTTGTAAGCACTGCAAAATTAGCAAACAGTTATATAACCCACAATTTGTGCTCACAAGCCACTCAACCCACATTATCTGATCTTACATCACTCAAAGTTCTTCTGCTACCATCACTATATCTCTCTTTCAAGATAGAAGTAGGTAGCCTCCACTTGTTTAGAAACCAGCTGTCATTAGAATGATTTTTCAAGTTGGTTATGGACAACATTCTAAACCTAATCATATCCACAATCCGCTTTATAACATCTTCAGGGTAAGCATCATTGTTAAAAATTTTGTTATTCCTAGCAAGCCACAATTGGTAAACAGTGCAAGTGAACCCAAGTCTGGAAATGATAGCACCCACAGAATTACCCTTAACAAGTTTAGAAATATGATTGACCAATTCAGGCCATTCAAGACAGGGCCAGGATACAGTAATCCTAGACTGAAGCTCCTTCCAAACATTATCCGAAAAAGGACAGTGGAAAAAAAAATGGTTATGATCCTCATAATGGTTATGACAGAAATCATAATTACTAGTATGCGTATAACCAAAACAAGATAACTTGTCCCCAGTGTAAAGACGACCATGAATAGCCATCCAAGTCAACAAACTAGCTTTTGTGATACTATGATTATACCAAAATTATAGGATTTTTTTGTATTTTTTCTAAACCTTAAATGTAAATTACAAATGATGCAAAAACACAATGGCGAATAAGGAAAATATATATTTCAATGTAAAATAAATAAAAATATTATTTTTTATACCTATGAATGACTGACCAATTATTGATAAAAATGGGTTAAATGTGTGTGGGTGAAAATCTGACCACACTACAATCTTAGTATCCAGCTGGAGAGCACCGGCAGAATAGATGGCACCTGACTAACCTGCAACAGAAAGAAAAGACTCCGGTGGTGGTTCGCCACCCGGGGGTACTCTGACGATCAAGTCAGTACTCAATATCTCTCAAAATAATCAATAGTGCTAAACTCATTAGCTTGAGCATAAAAAGACATACCTTAGACCCATAGGGGTGCCTCTCTTTTATAGCCAACATAAACCTAGTCCCAATAGAAACCTAACTTCTATAGACTCAAGATTACTGCTAATCTTGGACTCTCAGTAAGATTAGGATAAACTCTCTAAGAGTCTTATCTTAATACAAACTGAAGTCTTCTCTCATTCTAGGACTCTTGTCCCTCATCCAGGTTGAGTTCCCTTTTCATTCTAGGACTCTTGTCCCTTATCCACTTATCTCGGATTCTTCATTCTAGGACTCTTGTCCCTTATCCACTTATCTATAGGTTAGTAGGCCATGTGTTGGTACTCAAAAAATATATCCCCACAACTGCCCCCTAGGTTCTATTACCTCGGCATTCTGAGGTGATAGAACCTACACTGTTCGTTCATCTGTGCCCCTCTGTCCGAGATCAAACTCGTCAACCTCAAAGTTCCCTGGACTTTACTGTCCACTTCTGTTAAGTATCAAGCTTCATGCTTTCCAAGCTGCTCGAGATCACACCTCCTAGCCGAGGTTCTTGTTCCATTAATTCGTAAACTCCAAGAGCTCTGCAACTGCTCCACTCACATTCTTCGGTGGGTTCCCGACTTCCAGTCATCTATTTGACTCCGGCAATCTTCATATCGGCGTTCATTTCTCTTGGTAGGTTCATAAACTCTTTTATTAAGCTCAATCTTTCATAACTCTTCTGAATCCGTTTACTTGCCCTCTGTTGTCTTCTATTTTCGTCTGTTTTCAAGTTTTGAATTGTTTGAACGCCTAGCACTGTTCTTGCCATATCCGCTTTCTATTGCTGGCATTGTGTCTGGGTCACTACTTTCTTGTTCTTCACATACTTACTTAGTGCCTATGCACTTGGCTTTATTCTTGAACTTTGTCGTCTTCTTGACTCTAATTTTACTCTTTTTTTCATTCAATCCTCTGGCTTTTTCTCTTTTTAGCTCTTTTGCTTAAATCCATCATTGTTCCAAGCTTTCAAGCTCTACAACTGTTTTCATTCCTCTCCTCCGGTGAAGCTTACGTCATTCTGTCATTTTCGCATCCGTCGTCAGACTTCGGCAATTCTCATTCCAGCTTCCCTCTTTCTGGTAAGCCACTGTTCCTCCTGGTTTTATTTCTTGTTGCTTTCCAAGAAGCTCTGCTTCATTGTTAATCACCATTGTTGTTTTACCCGTTGTTTCCAAATCATCTTCTTGAATACACACTGTTCACACATCTGTTGATTTCTGCCACTATTTTTGGCTTGACACACCTGTGCAATCTTTTTGTCTTGATTTCCTGATCACAATTCTTGATTACGAATTATATTCTTGTTTCTGTTTTCTGTGTCTTTTTCCAGATTCTTGCTTTCAATCATTGCCTTCAAACTCCGAGGTGCCAATCGCCGAGAAGAGCCTTGATCAAACTCTTCGGGAGATCGATGCTGAGCTCGAGGCCGAGAAGGCTGCTGAGAAGTCTTCCCAACTATCTTCTATATCCTGCCATTGATGCCGAGTAGTTTTGTTTCCTTCTTTTAGCTCGCTTGTACCTTGTAACTTTGTCCTTCTTTGTATGCTTTTAATCAGGCCGATGTGCCATTTTTGTAGTTTGAATAATTTATTTTTTCAATATTCAGGCCGAAGTGCCTTCTTTCTTCTTTAAATGCATTTCTCTAATTTCTTCTTTCAATGAATGTCTTCTTTTTTTCTGCTCTTATATGATTCTACACTTGGAATAATTTGCATGTCTTCAAAGTATACCTTGACTGTGCAATCTCTTCGGTTAAAATACCTCTGTCACAACTTCTAATCTTGCTCATCTCGGCCTTTGTCCTAACACTTGAAAATATTATAACAAATATTTTCACAAGTGTTGCTTAGGACTTGTCACTTTCTCAATGTCTTCTACCAAGACTTCAGTTTTCATATTTCAAGTTTGACAACCTGGTAGTCTCGACAAGTACGCAGATATTGCGTTGAGCTTGACTTAACTTGTAAATTTTTCTCAAAAAATTTCAACAAGTGTTTTAATACCATCATCCTTTATCATAACCTCGGCTTAACTTCAGCTGTAAATTGTTACAAATTTCAACAAGTGTTTAACCATCTTCCTTTCGA